TAAATGTTACGTTTTATTTCTTTTGCCTTCCCTGTAGTTAAGATCAATAATATTACTTGTATGATAATGGTTTCCTAATTGTTTAACGTTATTTATTTGACGTTTAATTAATTTTTATATTATACTTAAAATATATTTGAATTATTCACCTTTTATTTAAATCTTCTATTTATATATATCTTTATATATATCTTCTATTTAAATATATAGCATTTATTGTACTTGATAAAAGATTACTTCCTCTTAAAATATTTATTTCAAATAAAAGATTTGAAATGCGTAACGGGAGGAATTTTTGGCAGCTGGGCTCGTTTGCTGCTACAAAGGTAGAGAATATAAAAACTCGGTTATTCGGTGACTTCTAACAGATAATATATAACGCGTCATCTTCAAGGATATTTTTTATAATGCGCATTTATGCTCTGCGTGTTCCTGCTTGGCAACATTAACTTAAAGGACAAAGCATATTTTTTTTCACATTTTTTATAATGTGCCTCCCCTAGTTTTCGCCTGTTCCTGCTTGGCAAAGTCTCAGTTCACCGTTATACGTTGCCAGCTTAAGATGGTCGACACAAACGTGCCGTCCGACGACGACGACGACAATGACGACGACGAGTGGGACGTCGTTGGTTTTGGCGCCACATTGACCATCCCCGAGGATGAAGATCTCGAGGAGCAGACGAGGAACTTACTCCGGTACATGGAGGATCCGGAAGATTATGATGGCGTGCCACCATTATTCAGTATTGGCATTAGTGAAGTAAGTAAAAAAAAAATACAACTACTGAATCGTCCACAGAGACGATATATTCATAATAACAATAATAATATTTTTTATAGGAAGAGGTTTGCGACGCCGGTTGCAGCGGTGACGCCAAAAGCGGCGACGGATGCTATGACGTCGGGAGCGGCGGCAACGAACGGGGGAAACGGAGGCCTGGTAGCGATAAACGCGGCTAAAGACGCAAAGAATGGGGCCCTGGTAGCGATAAACGCGGGGTACGCGGCTACAGACGCGAAGGACGGGGTCCTGGTAGCAATAAACATGGGGTACGCGGCTACAGGCGCGGCACAAATGGCGACACCAGTGGCAGTGAACGTGGCGTCCGTGGTGGCAACACCTGGAGCAGAGGTCCCCGCGGTTATGGACGTCAAAATTAATCTTTTTTCAATTTTTAAACATTTTTTTTAAACTGTATATGTATTTGATTTTTTAATAAAATATGATTAAATTTAAATATATATATTGTGTGTAATATTTTTATACAATTTCCGTCTCTCTCCTACATCCTGCACGTGCGAGCGGAGGAAAAAAACGGGGCGCAAGTAACAGGGAAAAAGCGCGTACCTGAACGGGATGCGAGAGAGAAAACGGGTCTAACGCGTGGGAGGGAGAGAGAACCGCTTGCCTGAACAGGGCCCAACGTGGGTGTGAGGGAGAAAGAGAGAAGCGCGTGCCTGAACGCATAGGTGGTAGGGAGAGAGAGAACGCTCGCTAAAACGGGGCCCAACGGGTGCGAGAGAGAAAAACAGGTTCTATGCGTGGGAGGGAGAGAGTAAGGAACGGGTGGATGGGAAAGAGACAGAAAATAAAAGATTTAGCAATAAAATATTTAATTTAACTATCTAATAAAAAAATATTTCATCAATAATATTTAATTGTATAATTAATTTAAAAAATTACATAATTAATTAAAAGTAAAAAAAATTAATTAACTCCTTTTCTGTGACGTCAGCCCTCCCCCTTCACGCAGGGACCCCTGTGAGCCCCCCCCCTGTGACGTCACCCCTCCCCCTGTGACGTCAACCCCCTGTGACGTCAGCCCTCTCCCCGCAGGGACCCCCCTGCCCCGCAACCCCCTCGCCCTCATTTGGTCCAGAATCGGCCTAGTATACCTACTGACGGAAAACGCGAGAATTTCGTAAATTTCAAACGTTAAGACACGAAGCGAGTTTCGTCATACGACCACCGCCGGAGGGTAAAAATACCGTTCGCTGGCTGGAAAACACCTTTCGAGAAATCCACGCATACGCTACAAACTCCCGCAATCCGATTACGTAGGGATATCTTTCGATTCAGCGGAATTAAGACATGGGGCGGCAGGGCTGTCGTTTCGCCCGACATGCGACTTAACTCCGGAGGACATATGGGGCCTCGTGAGCTCGGTAGCGCAGAGTGCCGGCGGTATTGATATTGCCGAAAATTTTGCGCGTTTTCAACGTCGCGGTACCGGTGGGACGCGGTGGCGTATCGAATCCTTTGACGAGCGAAACCGTTCGTAAACGCTCGATTTTAGAACTAGGGAATAAAGATAATTTGTGTCTCCCCCGCTCCCTCGTAGTGTCACGCGTTCATTGTGAATGGGGGCCGGGTTTGAAGGAGGGTGCGCTGTATGAAAAATGGAAAGCCGTGAGATACCGGACTTCCGCGTTACAGCGTAATTTAACGTATGAATTAATAAACAATGTCAATGTCGCGATACCCGAGAAGGGATGCGGGATTAAGGAAATCGAAAGTTTTTAGTAATTTCTCGCCACTGAAAATATCGCGATAATGGTGTATAATTTCAGTACTTTTGCAAAAGGCGCGAAACCTTTGTATGACGGTTGTACGTTACTCGCTTCGATGGGACGCGTACTTTTGCATCGCTTAAATATAATGTATTACGAGGATTCGCGTCACTACAATCCGATTCTGAATATGACCGCCGCCGCTGGATATCGAGGGGGATATTATATGGAGTGCAACAAGGGTTACCGTAAGGGGCGTGAGCATCGTTGTACGAAAAAATGTCCGAGTTGTTACAGCGTTCCCACGTGCGAGCGTCCCGGTGCGGAAAGTGTAAGATGCGCGGTGTGTAACCGTACGTTTTTCAGAAACGCGTGCTTCGCCCGGCATTGCGCGGAAAAATCATACGACGGGAAATCACGCGCTAGTATCTGCCAATCCGTTAAAATTTGCGCCGGCTGCGATCGTTTCGTAAAAACTAACTCTTCACACAAAACTGCGACATCGCCTACTGTAAAATGTGTCGCTCACCTCAGTCTGTGAATCATTTGTGCTACATGCAGCCTCTTGGACGTAGCCACGAGCAAAAACCTGGGAGAAAGTACAAGCGCTGGTACGGCGTTACAAGAAGAGATTGAAGAGCGGTGTGTGCATGAAAATGACTTCGTAGGCGAGAGCGAGCGAGAAAAAGGATATGTCGCATTCGTGTTTTACGACTTTGAAACGCGACAGGACGAGACGCTCGAGGGTACGGAAAGTAGTGTAAAGGTTCACGTGCCTGTGTGTCACGCAGCAAATTTGTGAAACTTGTGTTCAATTAAACAACATGACAAAGCGATGCCGTTGGTGCGGGGTACGTAAATTCATATTTCGACTCGATCCTGTGAAGGAGTCGACTTTGCGACGCGATCGACGAAATGTTTCAAAAAAATTATCTGCATCGCGCATAACGCAAAATCATTCGACGCGCAATTTATTTTAAAATATCTAGTAGAAAAATCGAGGGTATCAGTAAAGCCGCAAGTGATTTTAAACGGGCCGAAAATTGTCGTAATGACGGTCGGGCGAACGAAATTCATCGATAGCGTAAATTATATGCCGATGCGTTTAGCCGATCTACCTAATGCTTTCGCGCTGCAGGACACGGTGGATAAAGGTACCTTCCCGCACCTTTTTAACACCTTAGAAAATCGCACTTACGTCGGCCCGTTACCTGATGTACGCTTTTATTCACCCGAGCAAATGAAACCCGAGGAGCGCGAACGATTTATGACCTGGCATACAGAAATGTCTCGGCAAAACGTTGTTTTTGATTTCCAGCGTAAATTAGTTAAATACTGCCGCAACGACGTAGATATCCTTCGTTGTGCCTGCATGGCCTTCCGTAAAATTTTCTTGGAGCGCGGGAATGTATGTCCGTTCGAGGAATGTACAACTATCACTTCCACTTGCATGAAGGTTTTTCACAAAAACTTTCTGCGGGAGAAAGAGATAGGAATTATCCCAAGAGGCGGCTACAGATTCGCAGATAACCATTCGCGTAAAGCCCTGCAGTGGCTGGTATGGAAGGAGCGGGAAATCGATCGTGTTATAATTCATGCGGGGCGAGGGCGAGAACATCAGAGAGCCGGCAGACGCATGGATATTACGAGTCTGTGACGGCGGAAAATGATACACGGCGTTACGTATTTCAATTTCACGGGTGTTTCTGGCATGGTTGTAAGACATGCTACCTTATAAATCGTAATAAACCGCTCTTGTCCGCGAATCGCGAGGACAGCACGCTGGAAAAGCGCTACGAACGAACGATTGCAACAACACGTCGTCTTGAAGCATAGGGGTACCGCGTGATAGAGAAGTGGGAGTGCGTTTTCGACCGGGATTTGCGTGAAAACGATGAGATGCAGGAATTTGTCGCTAATCATCCGGTAATAAAATCCACGCCTCTCAATCCGCGCGATGCGTTCTTCGGCTGTCTCTTATACACATCTCTGAGCGGGCTGGCA